TTCGAGTCAGCGCCAATGATGACTCTTCTAACACGTGATTTCAGATGAGTAATTACGGATTACCGGGTCGGATGACAACAACTTCTTTTATAAAATTTTGTGCATTTCCAAGAATTCTATGTTCAGCAAGTGCTAACACAAGTTGTGTTGTGTTAAAAGTAGTGGGATTTAGATTAATCACAAGACTCATTTTTGAGTCCCCCTTTATCAATTATTTTCGTAATTTTTTTAGGTTAATTACTTCTCCAGCAATACCAGGGATTCCAGTGTTGTTGTTAGATGATCTGGGTGCTTTCGGAGTTACTGGAGGTTTTATTTTGAATTCATCAGTATCCATTCCTTGATCATTTTTTGTTCTCGATGATTCTAGTCTTTTCATTATAAAGATTTCTTTTATAATTTCTTCTTCATTATGGAAGTTTATTTCTGATTCTAATCGAGTGAAAATTACTGTTTCTTAAAATTGATAAATTCGTTTTTTCAAGTTTTAATAATTTTCTCATTTCAATATTTAATTTCAGATTTTAATTACAATTTTCTTTATCCATTTCTAAGAATCATATTGGATGCTTAAGGCTTCCGACTTGTTCTTCGTCTAGATCTAAATTAAAAAGATTCCAAAGATTTTTTTTCAACTTTTTCTTCAAAATTTATATTTTGAAGACACTTATTGGCCATTTAAAGGCGTTAGGATTTCCTGAACTTCCAAGTTCTTCGTTTCTTACAAGATCATTAGGATATGAATATCTTAGAAATGTGTATACTTTTCTTGATTACGGATTATCTCATGGTTCTCAGGATTTTTACAAGGACATTTTGCAATTTCTTACTTAATATCATCATAGTCGCTATTTGTTCTAAATTTGTTTTGAATCTTTAGACTGATGCTGAATAGTATTGAATAAATCATCTATCTATTTTTTAATAATTTCAATATCTCTTTTAATATCCGTCATAGTATAATTCATTTTCTAGAATTTTATTAGGTATTTTGCTCATACCAAAATGAGGTGTGTTAATAGCCTTAAAAGTGACACTTGTCACATAAAAACATGGTGAAAGTAGTGCCCTTTATAGCCTTAAAAGTAGGGGTGGAGCCACCCCTTGGGCTAGGGTGGTCTCCAACCCCATGTCCCAAAAAGAAAAAAAAAAAAATAAAAAATAAAAAACTTGCAAACCTTATTTTTTCAAAAACATTATATATAGCTCAATGTAATTTTTTATGTAGCCCCATTTAGTTTTGGGCGGGATGCCTCAAGATTCATGTCGAAGTTTTTTATCTGACAACAATAGTGGAAAAGTGATGATCGTAGTGAAAGGAAAAAAAGATAATCCTTTATTGTCAAATGACAATTGTGACCTTATTCGATTTTTAGTAATTGAGTTTATTATATGACCCAAGACACTCTTGCATTTTAAATTTATAATGGACTGACTTGACAAGTATCAAATGAGATAGATAATTAAGCCTGACACACACTTATCCTGCAGTCTATTTAATTGGGTTCGTCTCAGTGCACAGTCCGCTACCTATTTTCATGTTTTTTGGTCGATTTCGCCTCCAATAATTAGTTTGGCCTCATTTCCTGGACAGAAAAAACTCTTACAGAGTTAATTGCAAACATGTTCGACTCTATTTGTTTGGTCGACAAGTTCGATTACCTATTTGAGTTTAGCTTGTTTAAATATATAAGCAAGTCGATATTGAGTTTTCCCAATTCAAAACGACATACTTTAACAGATAATTTGGCTATAGTCATGACCATAACCAGTTACGGGTCGAAACTGCCGATCTCGGGCCGAGAGTTGGAGGACCCTGACTGGAGCGAACATATGCACAGGCCGATTCATTGAATTGTCGGTTCTTGGCGGTCTAGTTCATTAATAAAAAATAATATTTAGAAAAAAAACGTCAAATCTCCAATTCCAGTTCAAAATGTATAAATTTTAAATTATTGTACATGAACCGAACTGGTCCAAACCACAGGGCCGATTTTTGTCGGTTCGAGGCAAACCGATAGGCTAATTTGACCAATAACAGTATTTATTCAGTTTCAATAATAGCTACAATAATATGCAGCTTCAGGTTTAAAAGTTTTATAGCTTCGCCCCTCCTATAAAAGTGACACTACTCAAAAACATGGTGAAGGTAGTGCCCTTACGGGCATGATCGACTTTTTCCATAAATTAAAGCACTCATTAATCAAATTTCTAGAGTTGTCAGTTAAATTATATGATGAGTTTTGACATGAATTTTAGACCAAAATGCAATATATAAAATCTATGTGATTGGTAAAAAATTGCAAGTTTTTTAGTTGTGGGAATCATGCGAAACAAGATCAACGCAGGATTAATAACAGAAGTTAGATCTAAATCAGCCCCATAATAGATTTTAATTAATCATTTAACTAAATTTTATATCATTAGAGCCTGCATTCTTCGAAATGGACAATTTGGACCGAACATTCCTAGGCTTGACCATTATCTGTCAAAATTAATTAGACCTAATTATTCAATCTCAATATCAGTTAAATAAACACTTAAACAGAGCAGGTCAATCAATGTCGTTTTACAACCACAAATATATTCCTTCCCTCAAAGAATTCATAAACCGTTAATGTTTTTAATTTAAAACACCAATCATTGCAATCACATGTCACAGATATTCTATAAATTGTCTCATTACCCCCAATAATAAAAAAAAAATGTATATATATAAAAATAAATTAGTAGAAATGAGTGATGGAGTATATACGTGCTGTGCTGGTAAGTTGATAGCCATGAGCACATAAGTTAATTGCAATTTGGTAGATACTAGTGCATACCCGTGCGATGCACGTGATACATATAATAAATCAATTATTTCTATAGGACTTGTACGTCTAGACAAAAAAACAATAGGCTTGGATCATTCATATTTCACATCTTTTAATAAGTGGCGTTTATTTAAGCCAAAAAATTAACATGTTAATTAATATATAATTCCGCTAACACGTCATACTAATATTTATTTAATTTTAAAATACATATTTATTCATTGATATAAGAAAAAATAAAAATTTTATTAATTATTGTTCATATAATACTCAATTATTATTTTATTAAAAAATTTACAGTCATATAATGTAATTATTATTATTTATAAAAGATATAGAAGTAGTCTTCTTTATGTAATTAAATTCAAAATAAAATTTTGAGTATAAATATTTACAAAATACACACACACATGTTTTCTAGAATTCAATTTTCTCATAATAATTTTTTTTTTTTAAAAAAATGATTTAGCAATTGCCAAAAAATAAATCCCTTACATAATCAAGAGATTTTTTCTAACTTTCATTCTAAGGCTTTATAGTTTATTTAACATACTATGCAATAGAAAAATATTTTACAATAAGTTCATTTTTGAAACATAACAAAAAAAGTGATAAAAACATTATCATAGTTGACAATAATATACAAATAAATAACATGTCGAAATTTTAAAGAACAACTAATATAATTTTATTATCTAACCATCAGTAAAATCATTTAATGATGTGATCATTATCTTTTAAATAATAAATAATATTATTTTTTTAAAAAAATATTAGTGTTATATAATTAAATAAAGGTTAAAAAATATTACTCGACAAATATTGATTATAATGGATAACATTAAAATCATTGCATAAATTATTTAAGAAAATAATCTTTAAGATCATATTTGGATAGTAAATGTAAATATGCAAGCATTTAATGCATATAGTAAAAAATTTCCAAATAAAGTATGCATTAAATGTGTGTTGATTTTTATTGCTACTGTTTTTGGTAAATAAGTTGGCTTTTAATATATATATATATAGATTAGAATATGAGTAATGCTATATGTACATAATATTGTATATAAGGGTGTACATAACACTCACATTGACTGGAACCCACCAAAAATTAAAAATTAAATGGACCTCACTCCATGTGAGTGTTATGTACAACTCTATGTACATTTATTATGTACACATAGCATTACTCTTAGAATATTCACTTGTGAGTTGTCCCACATCGTTTATACAGGGAAAATAGATTTAATTTATAAGTCTAGTGTGTCACTCCTTCCACCAATTGGTTTTGCGATGGAATCTCACTTCGGCTTTATCTAGACTTTCTCTGTTTATGGTGCGCTTCGCGTGCGTGAGTATGTTCATATAAAAATTTTCAAAATAAATCCAACAGTTTGACTCAACTACTCTTTTTAACTCTATTTTAACTCAAATCAACTATCATCAATATTATCAATATAATTAAATAATCAATATTATCAATATAATTAAGTAATATCAATCATTCATACACACCACATCAACCTTAATTCATTATTCACTCACTCACATTATTTTAACCAACCAAATCACTTTAAATCATCTCTCTCCTACTTTTACATCACATCAATTTTAATTATTTTATTTTTATATACTCACTAACAATTAGTGATATCACCCTTTTCAAAATTAACCAAACCAAATAAAAAAAATCCAACAAAACTAAAAAAATTTATATCCAAACATGCTTTTGACATATGTTTATATTAAATACAAATACAAATCTTAATGGGATACATGAAACTAATACCTTAGTTGGTCATTTATAATTGAGAGAGAAATAAAATTTGGAGTATTAATTGTAATTTACTCAAGAAAAAAAAAATATTACAAATATTGTACTGGTAAGTATTTCCTTTCAATTAAATCTAATGAATACAATGTATTTGAGGGTATTCTTATGATGTTAGCCATGTGTTAAAGGGAATCCAAACCTGTCACATTTTATCTCTTTTCATTAACTAGTTTATGTTTGAAACAATACCCTGAAAGAGATTCTTTTAATTTCCCCCCCTTTTTTCACTATTATCTATATAATGGCAATCCTTCATGTTTCAAGAACTCACTCAGCTGCTAAACTTAAAAAAAAAAATCCCTCATATTTGTGAGTTCCCATTTTAGCACAAACTGATGATGTTTCAAATGGATCCTCAATTCAAATACGAGAAACTCGTAGAAAACGATAAGAAGCCGGCTAGATCGCCAGCAAGGCGGTTTTGGTCCAGAAGGCCAAACGGGCGGGTTAAGGGTCTCAAGCTTTCAAGGTGTAGGAAGCTGAGCTGGAGGCCGTTTGTGATCACGACCGTGCTTTCTAGAAAGATCCATAAGATATGTGCCGATTTTGTGGAGAGGATGAAGAGTGACGAGGCTTGCCCGGCTATCCTGTTTTCGTGCCAGTGGGGACTCCCTGTGCTTAGCCATTCATCTGTTAAAAGCAGCAGGAAGAATTAATGTTTCTTGTTATAGGAGGAGCTCAACTTGGTTTTAGTGTCCATTTTGTACAAGATTTTTTTTTTTCTTTATATTCATTAATCTTGAAACATGCCTTAATTCTGTCTTATTATATATTCACATTACTCACCATTCATATCATATCCTTTTAATGCAGCTTGCTAGTTACAATCACAGTAAACCAACTCACTAAAGAGATTTCACAAGTTTTTACATAAAATTGAAAAACAATAGATTTTCGTACAGAAGGAAAAGAAGAAGAAGAAGAAAGAAACACGACTTTTAATTTAAACTTCCGGCTGCACATAATTAATCAGGTACATATATGCACGCGAAAATCAATGCCAGGGGAGCCCGTTAAGCCCCCCTCTCGATGCAATTCCGGTCACAAACAAGAAAACGAGCTCTTTGAAACTCACACGCCTCGTGAAAAGCTTCTCCATCTTGATCTTGGAGCGATTCATCTTCACGATGACCTTGTGTGAAATGCTTTTCACATGATTTGAAAACCGAGGGACCTCAGTATCTAATTTGTCGCTAATCTCGGGTTCCTCCTCAATCGTCTCGAGCTTCATCTTCAGTATATCTTCAATGTCCATTCTTGATTCGACCCTCATCAAACTCTTCATGTTCTTGCAGGGCACTTTACCACATATGCACTCAAACCCGTTTCAGTGGTTCGTAAACGGAAGAAATTTTTAGATCACTTGAAACTGTGTTTAAGCTACATTGAGCTCAAATATATCAAGATTCTGTTTTATTTATTCATTTATTTTTTTTGTATGATTTGAGATGAGAGTGCATGATCTAGGAAGGTGGTTATGTGATAAAAGTGTTGGTTGGAAAGGGAGTTAAAAAGTGCCATGGATTGCTAGCTCTATAAAGTTTATGCTTTTCTTGCTCTTTACAACTTGGCCTTAATCATTACTACCTATTATTTTTAGCCCAGCATTTGTTTATCAAGCAGAAAGTTGCTTCTGAACAGGGGATGATGCATGGCATGGGAATATTGAATGATTTCTAATTATTAGGGGAAATTTTTATGATATTATGGAGACTTCTCTTCAATTTTCCTTTTGTTTAAATTACACAAACTGGTCTGAGGTTTGATCTGAAAGGTCCCAATTATCTTTAATTTAAAGAACTCTTGTGTGCCTGCCTGTTTCTAAAATCTACATCGGTCATATTTAAGTGAATAATAATTTGTTCATTACTAAAACTTTAAATTAATAAAGTAGCTTTTCAACAAAGCTCTGATTTGCAAGCAGATACGGAGGGTGGCTACAAATCCGGATCTATTAGTTAGCAGAGTTTTAAAAGACAAGTATTTCCCTCAAATTTCTATCATTTATGCTTTGTAAAACTCAAGGAGGCTCTTGGATGTGTAACATATGGATGGATGTCATGCCCTTTTTTTTTTTTTTT